TAGACCTATGTCTCCTATTCCTACATTTGATGAAGAAGAGATATCGGTAAATACTATCGATAATAATTTATCTTCTACAAATTGTATCAAAGATGGTATATCTGATAGAGTAACGGTACATATTAATGGTAATTCTGATAGAAATTCATTATGTATAAATGATAATAAAGCTATTGAAACTATGGAAGGTAAATGCATGGATGAATTAAAAAATGTAACAGTACAAAAGAATAATAATGAAAATGAAAATTTAAATATGAAAGTCATTGAAGTTAATTCAGCACAAGAATGTACCAATGTGGAAGAAAATAATCCTGTATATTCTTCAAAATCGAATGATAATATGCATAGAGTGCAAAGTATACATACGATTACATTAAGTACAACAGATACTGATAATACATTACCACGTGATACAAGTAACGACGCACTTTCTGATGCACGTTTAACAAATAATATTACCCAAATTGCACATATAAATCCTGAATTATGTGGTTTACCTTTAAATATATTTACAAAGGTATGAAAATTAATAATATTATCAATGTATAATGTATATTAAATTATTAATTAATCACTTATATTTTTAAGGGATATTTATGTTTACCATACTTATCTTTACCATATCTGGATCTTTTGGCAGATATTAATGTTAGAGGATACATAGTAGGTGCAACGAATGTTTTATTTAAACAGAAAAAACAACTTATTGATGTATTAATAGAGGTAAGATTCAAATAGAATAAAAAAAAAATGAAATAAAAATATTTGAACAAGAAATATTATACTAATGATAAGTTGTTTTATAAAAAGGTTGAAAATACGCGAATAGAAACAAGTGACCCAGAATTAAGAAGACAATTGCATCTTACAACTGAAGATCTAAGATTTGCTGATTATATAGTAAGGCATGTCTCGGAGCCACGCAAAGATATTTTTTTGGATGGTGTAGGATGGGAAGGTGGAGATGAATGGATTAGAACTCAATTTCGGGTTTACTTATTGAGCATGTTAAGAACATCGATGCAACAAGATAGTAGGCAATCTGATCATTATAATTCTGCATTTATAGCTGCTTGGCGTTTAACGAATAATTATAAGATATGGAATAGTTCTAATAAACCAGAAATTAGTAATATAGAACCAGGTCATCCATTTGCTGGACAACTATCTGTTCAAGATATGAAATTACGATTATCGCAGTAAGTATTTAATAATCTCGATAATAAAAAAATAGAGAATGAATGTGTAAAAAAAAAAAGAAACACATTCCTTCTAGTACAATGCAAAACACAGAAAGTGGTAGAAAATTGAATCAAGCAATGGCATCGACTGGACGAGCGGTTGCGACAACTGGAAAAGCAGTTGGTAAGTTTAATATTTATATACATATGTTATTTAGATACGCATAATTAAATTTCAAAATATGTATTTTTTACATTTATTGGGAATAAACGATATTCCGAAATTTCAAAGCTTCAATTATTTATGTAATGTACATGATATATATAAAATGCATATAAAATGGATTGCATAAATAAGAAAATTATACAGAATATTTTCAGACAGTTATAAAAAGTCCTCTCCGGAATGCACATGATAACAGGAGAGAAAAAAAATGTTTGTGCGCGTGCGTGTGTAAAGTGACTATTGTTTTAAAAAAATAATTATATGATATGTAAAAGTCCATAATGAGATTAATGCATAAATAAAGGGAATAAGAAAAAATATATTTACATTTGGGTGAAATATCAATTGAATTTATGTATTATACACTATTTTAAAAAACATCAGTTTAAGCAATTGAAGTAGAATTTTTTATTATATTTGTCAGAATTATAAGAAATTTTAAGAAATTTTTTTAAAGAATTTTAAGAAAAAGACATAGAATTTCTATAAAATAAAATAAAATAAAAAAAAGAACTTTTGTGGACAATAACATCGAAAAAATTTTCTTTTTTATCATTTTCTTTATTTCTTTCAATAATTAATTATATTTAAAACAATTTTTCTTAATATTTTTATAAATTAATAAAATTTAAAAATAAAAAAAAAGTAAAAAGTTTTATTATTTGTTTTATTATTTGTTAGGTGGTGCATTATCACAAGCTAAAGGAGCTTTTTCTAATTGGTGGAGTACATTAACAACAGTTCAACCTGTAGAGGAAGGAAAGGCCACGGACAATCAAACTTCGACTATACATCAAACGCTTTCAAATATGGTTAACAAAACCGCTGTGGAAGATGACGAAATTAATATGACTACTAACAATACAGGTTTAGAGGAATGATTGCGAATTAATACAAAGACTTACATCAATTCCAATTATTTTTTAGAATAACTATAAAACTAAATTTTTTTTTAAATCTAAGGGGAAAAAATCCCGAAGTGATTAGTACCAATTTTGATGAAATTTTAATATATAATAATTCACAAAAGTATTGGATATTTTTTTTTTTAACGCCAATTATCTCTATACAAACAAATAATAATTATGTGTATAAATATTATGATATTTAGGTACTCCTCTTTTTTGTAATTCAATATACCTTTGTATAGATATAAAATTATTTCTATAAGATATCAATTTCTTAATCTTTAATGGCTCATTGTAATGTTGATATATATAAAATAATAATTAATAGTTCAAAGATAAAAATTTTTTTAAGATATGAAAACATATCGAAATCAATGAAAAATAATTTATTAGATTTTATATGACATTTTCTATCTATAATCTAAATTAAATATAAAATACAATTATTATTTTTTTATAATAAAACATTTTATATACACGATATCGAATATAATAATTTTTTTTTTAATTTGCATAAAAGTAAATAAAAATTGATTGATTCATATTTTATGCTTTCGTATATAGTTCATGTACATCAATATTCACGACAATATATATTCATCTAACATTAAAAAAATTTAATATAAATAATTTTTCGTATATAATTTGTAGAAAAAGATTATTTTCAAATCTTATCATTCAATTAAAAATTAGTAATTCAAAATTATAAGATTCGTCAGTTAGTATCATTTTTTTTTTTTTTTTTTATCTATCGACGATATTGGACCCAAGATATTGGACCAATTAATAATGATTTTTGCCTTCACAATATGGATGATTGACGTTAAAAATATCCAATATTTTTTTTTTAAATATTAAAAGAAAATTAACATAAACATTTTAATATTAAATTATTTTTCATGAATATCAGCAATATTCGTTACTTCGGGATGATCCCTATATGTAAAAATCTGAAATTTGAACATTCGTATCCAATAAACAGAAGAAATACGAAGAAATATCGAGGGTGCCTTAGCGGAAAGGCAGTTGCTTAGGTCACAGTTACCTAGCCAAAAAACTTGAATTTCGTACATTCGATTGCTGCTGCCTCGACCCTCATTTTTTCTGGATCCTGTAAAAGTGATAGTATATTTACTATACATATTCGTACAACACATAAATAACAGGTATGTAAAACAAAAAATTTAGTTACTTTTGAAAAATAGTTCAATAATAAATTATAAAAACAACAAATAGTATAAAAAAATTGTTCTTATAACAAAATTTTGAATACTAAAATATATCAATGCGTCAAATGTGATGAAAGATAATATAAAGTATATTAATATAAAATATTAATATTTTGTTCTATTATTTAATTAATAATTATTTTCTTTTCATAATTACTGATCTTTCTAATCGAAAAGGATAATGATCTTATTAAACAAATATAAGTTATTATGCAACAATATTTATGTTTATTTATATAGTATAAAATATTTTTTATTGATAATATAATTAAATCTATTTCATATGTATACGACAAAAAATATTATATTTTGTATGTATATAGTAAAAAATATTTAAATGTTTAATTAAAACATTTTATTTATTTATAATAATGCAGTATTATTTCAGTAATATAAAATATATGTTTAATATAAAATAATATGTTTTGTACATGAAGCCCATTGTAACATTTACGTGCTTTTATTCATTTATAGTATTTTTTATATAAATACCATAAAAGAATTAATTAGTCCATGATATAAATCGTTATGACTTATTAACGTAATTAAACGTAACTATCAAAAATATAAACTTTGATTTTACATTATATATTATAAAATAGTATATACTATTTTATATACTAAGAAAAAACAAATTACAATAATAATTTTATCTTGAATATCTTGATTCTTTCATTATTATTATATCAAATTATAACGATATATTATCAAATTATAAGAAGGTATATAATATATAATATAACATAATATACTGCGTTATAATATTGGAAAAATCAAGATATTCAAAATAAAAATATTATTATAATTTTTTTTTATGTGTGTATGTGTGTATATATATATATATACATATAAAGAAATGTTTGAACTATTTAATGATTTTTATAATTTCAAAATTTCAAAAAGTAAATTTTTATTTATAATATATTTTCTTATATTTGCATCACTTATATATGAGATATATGAAAATAATTATTTACATTACATTAAATATATAATATATATATAATAAATCTTAATATGTGATTAATGCAATTAATAACAATATATGAAAATATTTAAATAAAATAGAAATATATGAAATAATTATTCTTATGTTTATATTATAACACACTATAAAAGTGATAATGTATTAATTGTTAATGAACTTTTCATAGTTACAAAAATATGTATTGCACGATAAAAAAATTTTATCAAAGAAATTGGAAAAAATTCAAATAAAATAATAATAGTTATAAAATGTATTTTATTTAAATGGATTTTATTTCGAATAATAGATAAATCAGTAATTATGAAATATACATAATTATTAGATTTTTTTAAAAAAATATAATATAATGAATTAATATTTATTAATAAATTATAAGTAAATATTTTTATTCATATATATATATATATATATATATATATATATATACACACACTATACAAACTTATAATTTATAATATGAAAAATATTTATTATTATAAAAAAAATTTTTTACACACACACATACACATATATATGTATTTGTTTTTATAAAACTGTATTGTACTAGTCATTATATATATTTATGTACGTGTGTATGTATGTATGTATGTACGTATTACGTATTGTATACATAATATAACAAATTTTGTTATATTTTGCTCAAATTATAAATAATGTTTTGTTTGTATATAGATATTTATAAGTATATATATAAAGTAAAAGAATTTTGTTAATTTTATTATTTATTTATAAAACAGGGTTTTCAATATGTGATAATGTGTATTTCGTTTTTAATATAAGATTTATATTTACATTTAATTTCAGTGTATTATATGTGCCATAAATTTATTATTTTGTTTAGTTATCTTATATATATATTTAAATTTGTTATATTTAAATCATTATTAACTTTAATTTTAAAAAAAGTAAGAAGGGGCTATACATACATTATTTGATACTAATTCAAAATAATCTATAATTGTATAAATATTAGAACAAATGGGAGAGAGAATGTATATGTACGTATGCTTGTGTATACATACATAATAAAATTTATTAATTTGTAATATTTATTCTAATAATTGCTAAATTATGTATTGTACGAAATTATTATGTAAAAATCAAATATCTGATATTGAAAAATGCATTAATGTTTCATTTGATTTAAAATAATTTTTAAATAAAAATTCACATATAAATACATATACATATACGCGAAACTTATTTTTGGAAAAAGATATGATATAATTTCTTATTATTTATTATCTATAAAGTTTTTAAATTTCGAATATCTTTTATTATTCTTTTATTAATATCTTTTACTAATATTTTTATTAACATTTTATAATATCTTTTATTAATATTTTTATCATTTAAATATGATAAATAATAATATCTTGTTTTGTAATTTTTTTTAAATTAAATTTTTTTATATTTCATATCAAGTCAAACAGAAATTATTATTGATCACTCATATTGTAGATAATAAACATAGTCAACGCTACAACAAATTTTTTATAGAAATAAATTTTTACAACATTGAACTGATTGTAATGATCGAATTTTGTTTTCTTATAGATTATTATCACTAAATTTAAATATATTTTTTTGCTTCGCGACATTTTTCTATAAAATCATAATCTAATCTATAATATATTTATAATAAGTAGTTGATAGAAATTTTAATAACGTATTCAAAATATATTTATAATCGTATTATAATATATATTTATTTATGTAAAAAAAAAATGATTAATTTAACAAATAGAATTTGACATTATTGTGAAAAACAAAACTAGATTAGAACAAAATTAGATTATTATACATTAAATTTAACGATTCGTAAAGATGTGCGAGTAATAATTAATAATGATTATCAAATTCTAGCAATTCTATGAGTTTAATGTAAAATTTTTCTTAAATGTCAATGAATTATGTATAATATTTTATAATATCTAATAAAAAATTTTCAAGCTTGAATTTATATAGATTTTCTTTTTATTTCTTTTATATGTTTGAATAAGATCAATAATTAATGTAAATCTCTTAAAATAATCTGTACATGTATCTATCTCAAAGTGTATGAAAATATTCTTATATAGATAAATGAAGCACAAAAATGATTAAAAAATTTTTATGTGTTATATAAATTTATAAATATATATATATATTACAATCGAATTGTTATTTTGTTGTACATAATGATAAGAAATGGTAAAATGTATTCGTATCACATATTATTTACGCAAATTTTGTGCAAAAAATATGCAAAATACAAACAAGTGATTAAATAGTGAAACTAATGGAAGTTTTTCAAATATTAAGATTTAATTTGATAAGATTGACTCGTTAATATAAAATAAAACTGTTGCAAATTTATTACTCAATTTCACGTTATTGAAAAGCAACATATAATACAAAGTGATTTATTCGAATCACATACTTTGAAAGATTTTTATATAACATGTATGTATGTAATATGCATATATACCTAATATATAAATAATATACATATTTTCTTCATAAGTAAAACTATTTTAAAGATAAAATAACATTATTTTTTTATTTAATATTATATTATTCTTTTAATTTCAAAACTATTAATTTTTGCTATTAATATTAATATTTATATTTATTATTACATATTTCTTTGTTTTTTCAAAAATTCGCTTCAAAACCAAATATTTGTAATTATTTATTTGTATTTATATATTTATATATTTGTATTTTTATTTGTAATAGAATATAAATACATACAAATTTTCTTATAATATATTGGTCATAATTTTATAATACGTTTATATTTGTTGTAATTGAAATTTATTTTCTTATAATGATGTAACAAATTGAACAAGATAGCAAGTTTATTAAGATAGCGCAGATTTTGTTCAGAATATTTTTCAGAAAATATTTTTTTTTAAAAG